TCTGAGCGACTTGGTCACGTCGGCTCCCTCCGGGCGACGCCTTGCATTCGCAGCCTCGGGTGATAAATAATTACTCGTCGGAGTCTTGACTTTTTCTTGGGGGCTGGGGGGTGTTTGTGTGCTGTCCCCTCGCTCAGCGCCGCGGCACTCTGACAGCGTCAATTATTCACGAGCTGCTTTTCTGCCTCGGCGTGTTCTCTCTCTCCATGTGCGTGCGTTTGGATTCCTGTGTTGTTTCTGTGCGAATAATATGATGGGGGCGGAAAAAAATTAACTTAACTTAAAGTGTGGGCTGACGGATTGAACTCAAATGACTTTGTGTCTTTGTATGAGTCTAAATCTCAAGAGTGTCAGCCGAGGTTTCTGATAGGTTTTGAGAGGTTTTGAGAGGAAAGGTGCTTAAAGTGAGACAAAGTGTGGCTGACTTTTTGTGTGTGTGTGTGTGTGTGTGATGACCTCTGATCGTCATGGGCCATGTCGGTAATGAGTAGTAGGTAAACAGGGGCGAGTTCTAATTTATTCATATACGGCAAACAGAGGCTGTGTGCAGTGAAGGGGAATAAGTGTGTGATGATTTATTAATGGCTATTTGTTTCAGGCCTCTCAGGCTAATTTTCCCCCAAAAACAACCCCAGGTTTTTACCCAAATGTGTCCCTGCGTGTCTCAGGGTCATACGTATTGTCTCAAAGTAACACAGCGTATTTTAATGCTGATCTACTTATTGAGGAGGAATAATTATTCCAAATAATGCCATAGATGTCATTTGTAAGATAACAAAACGTAATGTTTATCACACATGAACACAAATAATCATCTTACTATGTAAAAAAAAAAAGTTTGTTCATCTGTCTGAATACTGTCCTCGACAACCATTACTCGGGTGGCATTTTGTGTGTTGTTTGCTAAAAATTAGTTAGAGCACAGGAAGTCTCCAAAAGAACATACACCTTGGTTTTTACATTCCTTTTTGTGTGCGGATAAACTAAATTAACCGCATATATCGCGGTTATTAGTGAGCTTTACGGGTGTCGGAGGACTACCACTTCCTCTCTTTACGCTGAGTTAAGCTAAACGCTCCTAGCGGCTCTCTGGTTTAGAAGTGCAGGATATGAGATCGGGAGCATTCTAATTGCCTCCCAATAGCTTTCGACGCGGCGAAGGCGAGAACCGGCGGCTCAAACTAAAACGGTGCTAACTGCAGCGGCAGCGCAGACGGTTCTGTTCTAACAACGGAGGAAATGCTGACGGAGCTAACAGTTTTTACCTGAGGGGGGAACCAGAAGGTGGACGCTTCGCTTCTGCAGCCATGCGCCGAGCAGCCGTGAGCTGTTGTCACATAGAGGCATCCGTATTAAACTAGTAACTAAATTAGTAACTTTAATACACAAATGTACGAGTCAGGGACAACATATTTCATCTTCCTAACTCAGTATTCTGGTTAACTTCAAAAAGTGAAAGTAATTCCAGAATATGGGCTTTTTCACCTGATATAAGCTTGATACCAGCATCCGGTGTGTGATTTGGTGGCTAAAAAGGTCCCAGCAGTGAGTAACTGGGCTCACAGAGGCTTCCAGGAGCAGCGCAAACCGCTCGTCCCTCGAGGACGTCCGGGGCTCTGCCCCCTCAGACAATCTGGCCGTCTTGTTTGGAGTCCTGTCGCCATGCGTTCCGTCCAGCAGAAGGAAAATTTGGGCTTAACATGAACACGTATTTAGCCATGTGTCAGGACCAATTATCACCCTTTGAAAAGCAGGCAGCTCTTTTGAAGGAGGTTGTTTTTCAGGAGGGATGCGTGAAAAGCCTCCAAGTCAAAACACACATGTCTGGAAAAGAGTCCGCGCCCCTAGACAATCTTAATTGCAGAATCTGGTGCGTTTTCTGTAGCACGACGAGCACAGAAGTGACAGTTCAAAGAACAGTGCCCCCGCTTTATTACTACTAGCATGCAAACCGTTGGTAAAATGCCTTTCGGTTTGGTCATTTTCACGAGAACAGACTTTAAACTTAAAACCGACGACTGCGGTGCAGCGGGGAAAAACAATTCTTTCCGCACCCACATTGTTCGCAGGCCGCAATCAGTCTGTTCTGTCACAGTGAGGAGAAATCTGAAACAACACATGACGAACAAACAAAAACTCTGCGGGAGAAAAATAAAGTATTTCTGTCGATGGATACTTAATGTTTAATGTAACCGGCCTGCACATTCAACACAGGATTCTTGTTGCATCTGGCCACCAAATAACCCCCCCGGAATTTGATTCTGCTGTGATGTCGCTTTAAGATACGGGGGCCTCGAGAGAAAAAGCAAAGCTGGTACTGAAAGTGTGACTCAGCGTGCCTGCAGGGAGATATTTGCTCAGGCTCGGGCCGCGGATTAAGTGGCTTTTCTTCTGGGACCCCAGAGAAAACACAGGGCTGATCCCCTCCGCGTCCCTCGGCGGGACACAGGTGGGCGGCGGCCCGCTGGGTTCGAGCGGTGTGCGAGCGGTTGGGAACGTGCACTGAGCGAAGCCACGTCTGCACGCGTAGACCTAAGTGTGTGTGTGTGTGTGTGTGTGTGCACTCAAAAGGAAAGAATGCCACTTCTCAGCTCCCCTCACTCACGTCTCTTTACGCAGCCTAGACGATGCTGATGACACATCAGGTGAAATCACACACAAACACCTCAGGACCTTGTTCTCATAAAGTGCTTTCGCTGTTATTGCACCGACCAACCTGCCGCGTGCGTGTGCAGGCTCAGAGTCGCGTGTGTGGAAAAGGGCGTCCGGATGAGCGGAGGTTTTTGATGGCTTAGAGTTTAAAGGGTGCGGAGGGGTGGAATGCAAGCTAATTGTGCACAGGTGACCCCCACACAGGTGCTCTGGCTTCTATATGTGTGTGTGTGTGTGTGTTTGTGAGGGAGAGTGATGTCATATAGATGGAATGAGCCAAAGAAGTATTAAAAGGGGAAATATAAGAAGAAAGAGAAAGCCGATCAAAGAGATTTTCGAGGGCTACCAGAAATTCCTGTCTTTCTGCAGCAGCTCGCCCCACCCTCAAAAAACCCACTAAGCATGAGGTCAGCTGTTTTTCAATAGACAGACTTTAAGTCGCCCCTCCCATCCAGGTCCGTAGCACTGATATTGAGCCAAATGGGCCCTGACAGTTGATCTGGGTGCCGTCCCCGGAGCAGATGTTGCCCTTATATTTTCTTTTTCATACATAGCTGATTGAGCGGGATGATGAAAACTGTCCCTGTTTATTATAGTGAGGAGCTGTCCATCACCCCCCCCCCGTCACCCCCTTCCTCCGATTACCCTCTCAGTAGGAATACACAAGCAAATTGAACAAGTCAACCAATGGGCATCGGCCCCCTTTCTTCCCTTCAGCTCCCACGACTCCGCTGAAGCCACAAACCCGTGAATACGCTTCAAAAAAGTGTTGACTTTTCAACATGGTCCCCCCCCCCCCTCGCCCCCCTTCGAAAGGGCCTGTCAGTGCGATTCCTCGAACCCGTCGGCAGACTGCAAGAAGGAGGAGGGCCCCCTGGGGGAGATTTCTTTTAGCAAAGAAAAAACAAACAGGTGCAGCGGGAGGAGGAAGGAAAAGATGGAGACGGGAGAGAGAAAGTGGCAGGCGGTCCCTTCGGGCGCGAGCTGTGATTGATGCGCCGTGCATACACACCGTCACTTTAAGACTACAGTTATTCTGCACAGTCATGGAGGTGTTTGCTGTTTCAAGAGCTGCCACTCCGACCGGCACCAGGAGCAGAGTATGTCGGGCCTGAAACGTCTGCTTATGTAGCTCCACCTGAGTCCCTTCTATTCTCTAGATGCTTTTCTAGCATTCAAAATGTGTTTTTTCAGCTGTTACGGCACAAACGTACTTATAGTGTGGCCAGGTTAAGCTTGATTTCAATCAACAGGCAGCAATGTGTCAGATTGTGGCGGATTGTCTTGTCTGTTCATATTGATGATCTGACTAACTAACAGTTTGAGCTTGTTTTCATACGGTTTGATAGCGTTTGACTGTTTATCTGTTTACGGTAGCGACGGGTTGATGAAGCCCTCGTCACCGACCTGCTGCTGGTCTATCAGTGTGTAATGAAATACACTGTGTGTACATTGTGTGCACATCCTAGTTTTAACGCAAACCCACTACTCAATTAAGTACAATTATCTCCGTCTTAATCTCTCGGCACAGAATTATTTGACCTTTTTTGTTTATTGCATTTTAACATTAAATTTACAGATTTACGTCTTACTTTCAAATTGTCATTGTAATCTTTTAAGACGGCCCTTAGGCCACAATAGAATCCAATATTTAGCAGTTAAAACTGTATTTATTTACAGGTTTAAAAACATAATTGTAAAGATTTGAGTGGGCACTTAGTTATTTCAAAAGTATTTAATTAATTTAAAGTAAATTTAAGAGTATTATATAGAAGTACATAATAAATGGGAACACTAATAAATACTGTAAATAAATGCAAATATTATACTGTTATTTTGATACAGCCAGACCTGGACAAAATGAAGCACTTTGCCCCCCCCCCCCTCATTTAACTCATACAGAACCGGGGGACACATGTAGTCTCTCACCAACTCAAGTGGCACATCTGAATACCTGCTTTGGTTGTTCCAGCTTTGTTGCACACTGCGCATGAATAAACTTCTTTCATTAGCTGGAGGGGAAGAGCTGCCTTTCTGAGCCAAGCGAGTGCCACTCCAACTTTCCCGACAAAGTCCCCCAAACAGCTCGGATTCTTTAAGCTGCCAGGAAAGTGGCAATTCGTCTTCCATCTCTGCCCTGGAGGCCGGAGCCGAGATAAGCAGAGACGACGCGTGAAGGTGTCCCGGTGCTGATAGGAGAGCTCGTGTGATTCAGTTGGGATGCGTGAGCAGCAATGGCTCCCTTTGCGTCGCGGATTCGGTGTCCTGTCGTTGCGCTGCGGGCAGGCATTTCTCAGATGGAATCATTTCCATTAAAAAAATTGAAAGAATTCAAAGGCCAGCGTGAATTACATTTTACATATAGCATCTGTTTTTATTCGACGAGTGCCTTAAAAATCCCATTCTTAAGAAAACAACAGTCAGAACAGCACGATTAGATTGGTAATACAACCCGCCCCAAAGTCTATACTAGCCTCTTCTCCGATGCTCACACCAAAACACAACATGGTTTCGAGTCCTTTGAGGCACATCTGCTTCCAGAAACGTGGCTCACAATACGGGTAAACAGAAATTAGGAACACAGCGCGGCCATTGTTCTCGCGCACACATCGCCTGGAGGCCCGAGGCGGGCGCCGTCATCGAGTGCGTTCCGTTCATGTTGAGGAAACCGGAGTCGCTGTAATCGCTTGAATATCAGCCAGAGATGCAGCCGCGTGGGGACGAGTTCCCACAATGCCGAGCAGATCGATGCGGTCACAAACGCTTTCTTAGTGTGGTGCTCGTACTTCTCGAATAAATACATTTCAAAAATACATGTTATTTTCATATTTTTTCTAGTAAAAATGTTCAAATTTGAAAGCAGTTATGTTTAAAATATGGCATTACAACGCTGCTTTTTTTATCAAAAGCCCGTGGACACAATGTCATTTCGCCCATCTTCTTAAAGAAGCACTTCACTTCAGATACAACCCAAATCCTTTGAACAACTCAATGTGTTTTCAGAATAAAACATCCCCATGATTGTGGGTTAGAGGCAGCTCTGACGATGAAACATAAAACAGGGAAATATTGCATATCTGTGGAGATTCTGTAACAGCCACATATTGCTTCGGTTAGTGCTGAGGACGGAGTACGAGGAGCACTAGTTCGGCCATCGAAGTCAGAATTATTTCAGGAAAATACTAATATAGCAAGTATTGAAAATGACAATGTCATATATTTTGGCAAAGAAACATTTTAAGTATACTTTACATTACTGGACCGCAACATTTCGGCTGTTATATTCTTGAATATATATTTATATATTATATGATCTACATTTGAATAAAATCTCCATTGAATACTTAAATCTCATAAGTATGAGGTGAGGTATTTAGAAATCATATTAATTTTATAAGTAAGAAAAATAATCAAATACAATACGTTTGAACTCTAATGCTGAAAGGTCATTATTTGAGGAATAACCAAAGTGACCACATGCATTAGATGTGCATATCTTAGCCTGTGTCCATAAATACTATACATATTTTTGCTTGCCAAAACATCATTTGTGCATAGTCGTTTTTTATGTTCATTTGTTTAAAATTGTCATATTAGACTTTCTTGTAAAATTATAACTTTGCCATAAATATCCCCCCCTCCTCCAGCCCGTAAAGTGCTCCTAATACTCCGACAGTCCTCAGTGAAAAACACATTCAGTCATCCCAGCCGAAAAAGCGCCCAGTCATCTGGTAGAACTTCATGTTGAAGGGCCTGTAGAAGTCCCGTAGCCTCTGCACCACCTCGGGGTCGATGTTGGGGTGGGTCCGCCCTTTGGTTTTGCCCAGGCAGTGGGGCTTGCTGCTGCCCTCGGCTTTCTTGAGGCACGGGAAACCCTTGGTCTGGTTGAAGTAAAAGTGTTTGTCCGTGATGATCCTCTTGAGGCCCAGGAAGTCCTGCACGCGGCCCAGCTCTCCGGCCGGGTCGCTGATCAGCCGCTCGCCGCTCACAAACAGGATCTGCTCCATGGGGAAGTACTGCAGCCAGTTGTCCAGGTGCTTGGCGTAGATGCCGATCTGCACGGCGCTCCACGACGTGTCGATGAGCCCCGTAGTCCTGTTTTTGAAGGTGAGGCTCTCGAAGGAGGGAATGTCGGGCTTCTTGGACAGCGTCTGCGTGTAGTCCGAGATGGCCCTGGTGACGGGGTCCCTCACCACCACGATCAGCTTGGTGTCCCGGGACATGGCGGCTATCCGGGCCGGAGCCTCTCTGGTCACAAAGTAGCTGGGGGTTTTCTCCATGGTGATCTGGCCCTCCAGAGTTTTGGGCATCAGCTCCCTGAGAGGAAAAAAAAGACGGAAGTGAGATGTTTGTTTGACCTGCAGTCCTGACCGGACCGCACGGAGCAACTCTTATTATGACAAACATTATGACTGTACAGCTTTGTCATAAAAAACAACAACAGATGAATCCCATCAATCAAGACTAACAGTGGAAACGCTCGCTCTGCAGCGGGTCATTTATTCGATCTCTATCGGGTGTCTTTGAGCTCAATTAGCTGCCGAGAGGTGTGACCAGATGTTGATTTGACGCTTTGGCGTAGGGCGGCGCTCCGGATGTTACAGACGTTCTACTGGTGACGGTACACCCGGCTACCAAAGTGTTCCTTAATGTAGCCGCAGGGCTCATGAAATCCAGAAGGGCAATCCCCCGGGTCCATTCGGAAAGGGCGTGTTGCTGACTCTTCCTGAGGAACAATGGCAAATCTCTCTTTCAATGCTACAGGGCTGCTTATGAAATATTAATATTTGAGCAAACCCCCCCCAGCATAATGGACCTACGTCCTGTCTCGTGCTCGTTGCATGAAATGGTGCAGGAACACGAGAAAGGTGTTTCAGCATTGTCGCCTCCACTGGCAGATAGTGAGAAATGTTCACGTGGTTTTACGTTGTATTTATCTGTAACATAATTTGCTGTGAAAACATCTCTTTTAATCTAATCTAATCTAAACTGTATTATCAATAAGGGGATATATTTCATGGAATGTAACTCGATGGAACCTCCGTTAATGCTGGCTGTTGCCTCCGTTATGAACATGAACTCTCCTCCTGCCGATTTCTAGAAAGATTTGGGTTTTTTTTATGTGGCATTATGAGAGGAAGAAATTTACTAGTGTAAACTAGTGTATAACAGTGTTTAACTGCAGTGTGAAGCATCAGGTTGCACACGTACGGCATCGATCCCACAGGAGCAAAGGGGCGTAACTAAGGTAAGACGGGATATCCGATTGGTGGATGGACTCTTGGGTACCCGCCCACAAAATGAGACGTGGAAACCAGCTGATTCATTCGGCCACGCCAACCTTCTTCTAACATTCTACTTCTACTACTCCTCTTCCTCCACTTCCCTTCTGCCCAGCTGCCTCCACGACTGCGACCTTAAGCAAAGCGAGTAAAAGCAGCCCATGAATGATTAACGCGCCCCCCCCTCTGCCATTTAGAGCCTCGGCAGAATACAGCTTTAAAATTCACCAAAGTACAGAATGCAGGCGTCAATTATTCATCGGCTCGGCTCGGCGCTGCTTAAAGCCGGGACCGGCGCTGACAAAGTGGCCCGGGCAGCTCCCAGGGTAGACGCAGTGTGCCACCCGTGACAGAACTACTGAGACCCCGGAGGAGGGAGGGAAAGGAAAAGAGAGCACAGAGAGCGGCTTCCTTCTTCCCGCCGAGTGTCTCTTTCCGAGGAGCTTCTTTTCTGTGCCTTGCAGGGCGCGGCTGGTAAACAGCCATGCTCCGTTTAACAAACACGGGATCGGATGAGGCCGAGGGCGGCGAGATGTTTGCTCTGCACAAACAGGGCGCTTTGATAAACGGACAGCAGCCGTCATGACGTCAAAGAAGTCTGGTTGCGTAGAAGTCCACGAGAAAACAACTCGTCTCTTCATGTATTTCCTGAGTAAATTCTATTAAAATTCTAGTAAATTCGTTAAATTCTAACGAGGAATTTATGATGTTAATCTCGAGTTTCAAGTCTTCTTAAATACAGCATGATGTTTCTTTTGGTAAATTATTATATAATTATAGTGAAATAGACCATAAAGCAGGGTATGCTTTAGGAGACCCTAACCTCCTAAATGTGGTAACTTAGCGAGAAAACAACATGGCCGAACTCACGGCTTCGTAACGTTAGTCCACAAACCAGAGGGTGACCTCTGGCCTATTGTCAACACTCCCAACACTTATTTCTCCCCCACTTATTCTAGGAGCCGAACGGAAACACAGTCAGTGACGGCGACAGGACGAGTGTGCCTGATCTCCTGGAGAAAACAGCTGCCCAACGCATGAAGTGAAACGGATCTAAAAGCCATGAGTCGATAGCTTCAGGCCAATGTCAAAACACATCCATACTGCGCGTGGCTGAGTGGATCTCCTCCGCGGGGGAACGGACCACGAGGTCAGCACGAGGGGCGCCGCGGTCGATAAGTGCGAGAGCCGCAACACAGGTGCACGGACGTCGCCGCGTCTGCCTGCGACTTCAACCGTCGCCTGACCTCCAGAGTCCTCTCGGTATCCGCGACCTCTCCTACAACATGGACAGGGCCCCCCCATGAGGCCGCCTAACGGGGCTTTTACAAACACAGACCGCAACGTCTGCTAAGCTCACACGTCGATAGCGGTGAACACAGAGACCGGCTATCGACTGGGGACAGGGCGTCTTCCTGAGAGCAAAATCGCCAAAATGGCGATTGGAAATCCGGTGGACTTCAGAAACAGGCCGAGCAGCGCCGCAGCTTCACGACGCAAAAGAGAGCATTATTGTTTCATGACCAAAAAAAGAAAAAAGAAACGAGACCCGTTCTAAAGGAAGCATCCATATTTGATGGCCTGCGTCGAGCTTGTCCTGTGGTCGATGCACTCTCGCCGGTGGTGTGTCGGTGCGAGGGCACTCCGGGGGGGGAGGGGGGTCAGCGAGGTACGTGGGTTGGTGTGCAACATGAAGGCCGACATGTTTGGAAGTACAACCTTGGTCATAGGAGGTAAAATGTAAGAAGCCATGGGTTAAAAATGTATGTCGCTTTGGATAAAAGCGAAATGACCTGTAATGTGAAGTGGCTGATGTATCCGGGTGTGATGTTCATAAATGAACTCACGCATGCTGCGATCAGGTAAGACTTTTAGAAAGAGGATATTTGGAGTCTCACAGTCTTACGACCTCTGAAGCTCATCATGAAACTTGAGTTGGAGCCTGGACAGTTTTTTGGCTTTTTAATGCCAAAGAAATCATATTGTTGAAACATATTTCCGTGACTACCACTTGCTTCAGAAGCAAAAGCTCCTCAGTTCTCAACTTCTTTTCTTTTGTTGGACGAAGGAGCAAGAAACCCTTTGCACAGACCTACGAACAGGAGAGCACGCGGCGCGTCGTAATGAAACTTTATTGGCAGGGTAGGTGATGTAACAGATGACAAAGTGTTTGATATTTACAGCAGCTCCAGAAGCCGCTTTGATTTCTCCATCGTGCTGCTAAAATACGACTCCCTGAGCACACTGAGGCATAAAACACAGGCAGCGGGACCCGCTGCCGACCCAAAAGCCTAACGAGAGCCACACACAAAACCCCGACCCGCCTTTAAATCAAATTCACCGCCCTGGCACAAATTTGAATATTAAAGAGCGGAAGAAGACTGAACAAATATTCAGGGTGACAAAGTTTAAAGCATAACAAACAGCTGGTCTACATGACAGAACTCAACGCCATGCTGTCTTTGTACGTCATTCCTCTCATGTGGGACTAACTAACTGGAGACGGATGCCAGGACTCTTTCCTATAATAAAAAACCCAAATCCAATGTACACAGTAATGTGCAGTACATCACTCAATGTGTCCTTTGTAGGCTCGTTGATAAAAGCCACCGCTTTGGAATAAAGGGCCTGACGCATCACTGCTTTCGTTTCCCTACTGAACTCATATACGGGCTGTGAGTCACGTCTGCCTGCTATATAAATGAAAGCAATAAAAGAAATCTAAAAAAGCCCGAACGCGCCATACGGTCTTATTTACTGCGAAGCGGGTTCGCTCATAATACGCCGACACGGAAAGTGAATTAGGGAGGAGTAAGAAGCGAACAGGAGGTCCGCTCGGATCCGAGTCCGTGGCTGACGGGAGTCTGTAAAGGCACGAAGGCGAGAGGGCACGAGGGCCGCCCGCTTTCCCCCCCCATGAGCTTTTGATTCCCATGAGCCTTTGATTCATTTTCCCCGTCTTGCGGCAGGGAGCCCGCTGGCAGGCACAGCTAGCCTCCCGCCACGTTCCCCTGCCACCGCCCCCCCCCCAGACGGATAATAATCTTGTAATTGGCTCAAAATTTCTGCCCGTTCTCCAGCCTGTGCCGCTCTCAACCGATATTTAACAGGTCAGCGACTGCTGGCGGCGGTCGAGGAGAGACCAAGTGGAGGAGCAGGAGGAGAGGGGGCTTGGGGGGGGGGTGTTGCTTCAGAGTAATGGTAGCTGTGCTGTGAGGTGAAGGCCCACCCCTGTGAGCTCCGCTGGCCTTTTGCTGCTGCACATACAGTGGGGATCACGGCCGATTCCCTTCGGGGGGTTTGTAACGCCGGGATCACAGGTCTGAGCGGAGCTGGATAATCCAGAGAGTCTCAGTCCTCCAGGATCAGCCGACCGGACCATTTAGTTTCCCCTCCACTGTCTCGCCTGCACACCTGCACTTAACAGCTCTAAATGCCCCCCCCCCGGTCTGAATCCCACCGCTTCCGTAAGAGAAATCAGCATCTAGCGTTTTCTGTTTGTCTGTCCCTCATTTCGATATAAACGTCCAATGTGGTGATTTCCGGGGCTCCATGATTGATATCGCCAATCCTGACCTTGGATCAGAACTGACTCTGATTAACAACAGGTCATAAGCAGCTTCACAGTGAAGCAATGGACATACATTTGAAGAGTGAAGCAGGGGACTAAAAAAGAAACAGCTAGATTCCTGCTTTGTTAACTGAAAAACTCCACAAAAGTTCTAAATTCTCAAGCAATTTGCACTCTGAGGCAAGTAGAACTCAGAGTGGTGCATGGAAACCGTCGGGGATAGGAAGCGATTTTGAGAGACATACAATTACTAGATAGGAGAGTCATCTATTCTTGGAAGGCAACAAGGGAGGACAGGGTCTACCGTTAAACCCCCCCTCCCCCGATAAAGGGTAAGTAGGGAAGGAAAAAAGCCCCGCACGACACATCAGATAGCGATGTCACTGACGACGAAAAAAACTTTGAAAATGTCAGCTTTTAAATAACAGGAAATTCGTTGTCGGATGGATGATTGGGTGTATTTC